AGTAGAAACGTTTGGGAACAACATGCTATTTCCAAAAGGTAAAGATAGGAACAGCTTAGACTATTTAGCTGCTGCTGGACTCTTTGATCTGCTGGGTTTGTAGTCACTTCTGTACTATTTTCCTTAGGTTCTGCCCATTTTATAAGACTGTGGGGATGCTGTCCAACATGATTGCGTTCTACGATATGGCACGCCGAGCAGTTGAGACGACCGCCCAGAGTGACAATAAGATTACTTGGGCCATTATCAGAGAGAACATGAACGAGATCCTCTACCGACTCACATCTATGAAATTCAAGGTATGTCTTCACATTGGAGTGACAGCAAAGTAACACATAATTTTCTTTTCTCACTTGTGCTAAATGATCCTTATTGGGAAACGGAGAAAGTTATCATTTTGGCTTGACTTGCAATCTTTTATTATAAGAATTCATGCTCAGGCAGTCCCCAGATAACAAACATGATAGGTTTCTGTAGGTTTGTTCCTAAGCTGAAATTGTCTGTAAGTCAGAAAAAATACACTTTTAAGTGTAATTTCAGCCTCTCTCTCTCTCTAGCATAGGGAAGGATTAACACCCCTGTGGTGGTTGTTTTGCTATTTGTGCCCCTGGCAGTTCCTAATAGGTTCTGTCATAAAAATTACCAATAATGAAATAATAATGAAATTTTGAGTTTTGATAGAGTTCTGAAATTTTCACCACCAGAACTTTAGCAACACTGTAGAAGCAAAGCACCAGCGCCCCGTAGTTTTCACCTAGTTTTCACTACCAGAACTTTAGTTTTGTAAGTACTTTAGAACCATTTAGAACCATGGATTGCACATGGCTGCAATGTAGTATGCTGATGATCTTATGGGGGGACTATGGTTAGAGACTCTTTAGGAAGGAAATATTCGTGACTGCTTTTAAATTCAGGCAATGTCTTTCTTTCGATCCGTTGACTTTCAGGACCCAGTGAAAGACGGCGAGGCAAAGATCAAAGCAGATTATGCACAGCTTTTTGAAGATATGCAGAATGCATTCCGCAGTCTAGAAGACTAGAGGGCGTTCTTCTGGGAGCCCCAGTGGAGTGTGTTCCTTCTGGTTTTACTGGTAATAGAAGATGTACATTTTGCTGAAAAAAAGTATCTTTAATACATTCCTGTTCAGTTTAGTAGCTCAATGTGTGGATGTGAACCTGTGCTTAAAGCTATATTTCGTAATGGTTCCCGTAACCTGAAGTGTCGGCCACCAGATTTGACTTCAGCGGACAGTTTCTCTCTTTTTGGAAGAGAACTAAGGGAGTGAAAGCATAAATGGGGAGGAAAAAATCATGTTGATGTATTGAGAGAACATAAGAGTAGCTGAACCTGGTTTCTAATTACATGTTAAGTAGTTCTGACACTTGAGAGGTAGGATTTATTTATTGTATTTTGAAGCTGCTCTTGCCACTATAGAACACAAACACTGTAGCTAAAATTACTTCCCCAATTTCTCCTTCAACGCAAGAGTGCTGAAAATCTCCAGAACT